ATCTTTTGTTATGGTCTACAACAACACCTTAAAATAGAAAAAAGGAATCCTTAAACAACACACACACACATATATATTCTACAACATGACTAAAATAATTCAAAATTGTTAAAAATACACTTCTCAAAGCATTAGCTAATGATTCTGTTTCCAACTTTTAACTTCTCAGAGGAAAAGTTGTAGTCATTTCACAGCTAAAAATAACAGAATCATAGACTTCTTGGCTCTCCATTCACATGTCATGGATGAAAAATGCAATTAATTGAACATGCAAGTGAATAAACAAAGATTCCAATAAGAAATAAACCTTGCCAACATAGTTTCTCCCAGATATTTTGGACTATAATTATTAGCCAGTATAGCTGTTGGCATAGACTTTGGAATCCCAAAATAGAAGCAACAATCAATTCAGAGAACAAAATAGAATTAAGTATTCTATTAAGAATAAAATGCAGGTGGATCCTTAACATGAAATTACTACTTTGCATCTTTCAGAATCTGGGGGCTCCAGTGGGTTCTTTTCCTTTTTTTTTTTTTCCTTTCCCTTTCTTTCTTTTGGCTAAATGTAAAATTCAGCATCACTATTGCAAAACCACATTTAGATGGAGCTATACATATTTTTATCAAACTATATGGAGGGCACTTGACAGAAATGGACCATTCATGAAACATTTTTAAAATAAATAATCTATATACAGGTAGTCATCATTTAGCGACTGCAGTTGGGATCAGCCACTTAGTCATTAAGTGACACGGTCTCTAAGTGAAAATCATGTGACCACAACTGTGCTTACAATTTTACTTCAGCTTTCCTGTTTTACAGTGTCAGAAGAATATGACCCCAAATGGTGGGGAAGGTGTCACAAACTCAACTCACAAGGAAGCTGGGTAAAAGGGCAAATCTTACAGCCCTTTTTCCCCACTCCCCTGCCCTTTGAAATGCTCACCCCGGCACTGGGTAATTAGCAAGAAGAGAATTAATGTTTGAATTTACATTCATTAGAGAGGAAGGGATTATGAGAGAGTAAGCAGGCACACAATGGGGAATACACATGAAAGGAATGCGATAGCACCAGCTGTTTGCCTAGGGAGCTCCCAGCTGTGAGCCAGGAGCTGGTTAGGAGGAAACAAAAGCCTTTAGTGAAAACTGATAAAGGTCTTGTCAATTTCAGGCAGCAGCTGCCAGCTGCTCCTAAGTTCTAATCAACTAATTAAGGTCACAGAACTGAGCTTCTTAACTTGTGGTTAGCACCCTGTAGGGGAAGAAAAGCAGCTCAGGAAGAGATTTCTTGTTTAGCCAATCTCTCTGCTGTGCGGGGGGGGGGGGGGGGGGAAAGAAAAAATGGGTCAGGCACAGGACCACACATACTAACTGACTGTAATGGCAAACATGACAGAGAGAGGTGCTGCAAAGGTCGTAAACAAAGCATTGGTCACAAAGTTACTTTTTTATCCCTGTCATAACTGCAAATGGTTGCTGTCTGAAGTCATTAAATGAGGATTACCTGTAGTTTTTAAGTAATCAAACTGCAGTTTATTTCATAATGAATCTCAGTTTTTGTATACTTTAACCCTTGGGCTTCTAAGGGAAAAACATGCTTTGAAGCATGTGTAGATATTAACCTAGCACTAGTTGGTATTTCCTTAAAGGAGCTGCTGCTTTTCCTGGAATCATGTGATTGTCTTCCACAACTGCCACGTGGTTCTAAGAAAAAAAAAAGTGTCTGAGTTTAGAAGTTGCTGACAAAAGACTGGTTCCTTTTTTCAGTTAGTCCAGTTAATTTTACCTATAGGCTTAGAAGCATTTTTAGCCCTTTAATTTTAATTTGGAAGAGCTGCTTCCAGGGATTTTCATCGAATAATAGTGTTATGTATTTCATTCTAAAATTAGATTTGTATGTTTTGATTTGCTTCCCACTTAAAACTCTTTCCTATTGCCATGGATACAGCATCAGTTTGGAAGAAACCTAAAACATCAATGTCTGTGAATTAAAAAAAAATGACTTGCATACAGGTAGTCCTTGAATTACAACCATTTGTTCAGCAACTGTTCACCATTATGGCAGCACTGAGCAAATGCTAGTTATGCTGGTCCCTGAAGCTATGGCCATTGCAGCGCCACCACAGTCATGTGATCAAAATTCAGGCACTTGGCAGCCTGCCTGCACTTATCACTGCAGGGGTGCTTTAATTCCCCCCACCCCCATCTCTGCCCTTTTGGCCCCCCTGCACTCACTGGCCTTGGTCTTGCTGTCCCTGCCACCCTTGCTGGCCTTGCTGCCCCTGCAGTCCTGTGCCTGTCCCCTATCCAAATCGCTTGTGGCCTTCTTGCTAGGCTTTAGAAGCCTCAGAAGCCTTCCAAAGCCTCACAAGAAGGCCGCACATGATTTGAACAAGGGGCAGGTGTGGCCTTCGAAAGAAGGCTTGGCGCAACCAGCAACTGCCTTGTGAAGGGCCAAGCTAGGTGTGCCTCATCAGCAGCAGGAAGAAAACAGCAAGGGTCAGCTGGGAGCGGCAAGGACAGCAGGGGGAGTGGAATGCAAGGCAGCCAAAAGGGCAGAGATGGAGGGGAAATGGGTGGGGGGGTTTAAAGAGGAGGCAGTCCCTTACCTTACCAAGGTTTGGAGCTGGGAGAGACCAAGCTGGGAGTGGCTTGGATCAGGTGGGATTCAATTAACGATGGCAACTGGGACTGCCAGGATTGCTGTTGCTAAGTGCTGCGGTCACATGACATTGCAATTAGCAACAGACATTCCAGTCCCAATTGCCATTGTAACTCAAGGACTACCTGTACTTTGATTTCCCATAATAGTTCAAATGCTACTTGATGATCCCGTTAAACCTGAAAGTGGTTTCTTTCAAAAGATACTTTGTTTCTAATTTTGCAGGTGTGTACAAGCTGTGAAGACAATGCAGAAGCCAATGGTTTTTGTGTGGAATGTGTAGAGTGGTTATGCAAGACTTGTATACGAGCTCATCAAAGAGTGAAATTCACAAAAGACCATACAGTCAGACAGAAAGAAGAAGTTTCTCCAGGTAAACATCCATTTGTTTAGTTCTGCATAAGATAGATGTATCTGTATGTGTGAGTTAGTTTTATTTTATTAAATTATCTTGCCATCTCAGGATTAGCCTGCTTGGAAGAACTGGTGTTTTTTTTAAAGTTTATTTATTTTGAAAGAAAGGAGAGGAATACATTTCAATTAAGAATGGATCAGTGTCTGGACCTTTCTGAGGAGATTAGAACAGCTACTTTGAATTCAAAACGAGCTGTTTCAGGCAAAGAGTTTTGACTTCAAGATGTTTGAGATTCACAACATTTACACACCTATAGTTATTAATCCATTTTTTTGCCCTGACCTTGCTCTTTTATGGAATTGGCTTCTGGTATTTATATAATCATATGTTGATGCTTTCACATATTTGTTGAGGAAGAGGAAATCTATTCTTATCTTGTCACAGAGTTTAATTTTATCAAACGGAACAAGAAAGCAGATTTGCTTGGTGAAATGAAAATGCTGTTGTTTCCTAGTTTTGCTTCAGAGGTTTTGTGGATTTCCACTTAGCAATTTCTGGTCTTGTGAAATCAGTCAGTTCATGGTGAGGATCTGCCAAGTACTTTGGTTTTAGATTCTGTTGTAAGTCTGTGAGGTTGCTGCCATAAGACTAAATATTAAATTTTGCCTTGAAAAGGTTAGGAAGTTCCTCTTATTCTTGCTTTGTCATTAACTGCCTTTAAAAGGATGGGGTCTGTCTCTGATGAAATGCTGTTAATATGTTGCTAAGCATGAAATTCAGCATGCCTAAGAACCTTAGCTTAATCTTTTTAAAGAAAAAAACTTGCTTGTGGTTATTGTGTTCTTACTGAAAGTCTGCAAGCCTGATTTCCTGTATAAGATTTCCAGTGAGCAGGAAATGATACTTGTGTGCTCTGCATAACTCCTAACCCTTTAATGCAATTGGCAGTACCAGAATAGAATATTCATTCTTAATAATTTGCATAAGTTATAGACGTTATGGGATTTAGATGCTAGTGCACAACACTTAAAATTAATTAATATGAATTTTATCACTCTCTTTCATATGGTTAATTAAGAAGGATACTTTTTTCTCTTATATCTCACACAATACATAGGGTGTGTAAAACAATAATATTGTAATGGTCCATTTAGAGCCTGGAAGAGAATGAAGAAATTATTTATGAAACATCATCAACCTGAAAATTACTCATTTATCTGTAAATAAATTCCCTGGTTCACAGTAAATTCATTATCAAGAAACTGAAAAAGTTTCATCCTAATGAATTGTAAGATAAATTGGGCATTACAGTGAAAGTAGTCCCATTACTGAAGTGTCTGTAACCTTCTCATGTACTCATTTAATGCATCTTGTTCAAGAAGACTGTAGGAATCTTGCTTTTTGCTGAGTCTAAACCAAGAGTCTGACAAATATGTTCTCTCAGGGATAATTTCTTCTTGGGGCTACCGCCACTGTTGGAAGTGACTAGAATGGAGATGGGCAGTTTGAGGGCTCAGCTGGGTAGTGACCTGGCAATGTCAAAGGTAGATTAAATGGTGGGAATGGGTAAACTAGCTAAATTATAGAGGAAGAGGAGGGGAGGACATCACCATATCTGTATTTCTGCTTGGCCTCTTTAAAATTTACTAGATAACTATGTACCTTGATGTAGTGGGTTGAGAGGCAATGAGAAAATATTTATATATAATACTTTTTTCTGTTTTGAGAAATTAGAATTAGAATGATATATCTTTTCACATTTGTGATCTAAAAATGAATATGAAATAATTTTTTTTAATTTTTTTTATTTTTTCATGCATTTATAAGACTGCCCAACTCAAACAATGTGACTCTGGGTGGCGTACAAGAAAAGTAAATTAAAAAACCCATATAACATTTAAAAAGAGAATTTATATAATAATATTTATGTGATATTAAATCTTAATTTACAAGTTCACAAGATAGAAATATGTTGTAGGCATTGTCTCTGACTGTGGAAACAAAGCTTGAAGCACATTTTAGGCATGTTTCAGAGAACCCATTGAATAATTTTCCAAATACTTGAAAAAAGCAAACCAAGTGTGATTATGTGTATGGGAGAGAATGTGGAGTATGGAAGAAAAGAACCTTTTCTTTGTTTCTAGACTTTAAAAAGGGCAAAATGGTACTAGTAAGTTGAGGAGTTAATTTTCAGTTTTAGTCTAAGTTTGTAACAGTTAATTCCTATCCTTCAGGCTTTTTTTCCTTTTTCTTTTTTTAACAGAAGCTGTTGGTGTAACAAGTCAAAGACCTGTGTTCTGCCCTTACCACAAAAAGGAGCAACTGAAACTCTATTGTGAAACTTGTGACAAGTTGACATGTCGGGATTGTCAGTTGCTGGAACACAAAGAACACAGGTATTGACATGAGTTTATCTGAAAAAAAGGCAAAGTTGGATAAAGAGCTAATAATAATCTATTAGAAAAGTGCAGGTTTCAAGGGATAGACTGGCCTGATTTTTTTTTTTACCCCATTTGCTCTGGAGTTTTATATAATTTGATATGATTTACAGAAGTCATTATGGTTATATTTATATCTTTTTTCTTTTTTTCCCCTCTATTCAGTTTTGGTGTATTTATTTTTAAAAGGCTCTATGTAGAATACTCTTAATATAAACATGCTATATATTTCTCTTTTTGCAGATACCAGTTTATAGAAGAAGCCTTTCAAAATCAAAAAGTGATAATTGACACTCTTGTTACAAAATTGATGGAGAAAAGCAAGTATATAAAATATACAGGGGAGCAGATTCAAAATAGGTATTGAATCTTATTTTGCAATATTAAATATTACTTTAATATGATTAGCTTCTTTTTCATTTAGAAGTTTCCACAAAATGAGGTTTTATTCCCAATAATTGGATTCATTTAGTTTTTTGCCTTTCTAAATTTGACATGTAGTATAATGAGTTTAATATATGCACATGAAAATGCATAAAAGAGAATCACTGTAAGATAATTTGAGGGTCACTCACATCAGTGTGGAGGACTTTGAATATGATAATTCCTAAACATGTTATAACAACATAAAATGTCTCAATTGAACAAAGCATAAATCTTTTTCTACAGTGGCCAAATAAATGTCTGCAGGATATCCATAAGCAGGATGAATGCAGTTGACACAGAGAAAGAAAAACTAGAATTTCTACCCTAAATCATACTAGTTAAAATGTAATAATTTTTCAGAAGGAGTGTCCTGGCAATTGCATGGCCTGATAAATATTATAATCAGGAAGAGATTATGGAAGAGAGGAGCTGTTGTGTGGCTATAAGCTTGCCCAGATATTTTTTAAAGGAAAAGAGAAAACTGTGAGGGTTGAATGAAAAGTAATGCCTTTACCTCCATAATTTTAGTTTAATAGGGGTATTCTAATAAATTAAACAGGAAAATATTCCAGGAAATGAGCTCTTTTGTTACCTATATTTACTTAACCTCCACCATTCGCTACAAACTTCTCCCAATAATGGACAAACTTCTTAAAGCTGTCATGAAAGAACTCCACACTTCGGTTCTTCAACCAGATCCTGACAGTCCTTTCTAACTCTTCATTTGAGTCAAATAGATGCCCACGAAGTATTCCTTCATTTTTGGGAAAAGGTAGAAGTCAGATGGCATCAGGTCTGGACTGTATGGCAGATGGGGTAAGACAATGCGATCCAACTTTGCAATTGCTTGTTGGGTGGCTTGTGATGTGTGAGGCCTATTGTGGTCATGGTACAGAAAAAATTCCTTCTTGTGCTTCTGAACGATTCTTAATCATTGTTTCAAAGTTTTGAGTATCACAGTGTAGCGCTCTGAGTCAATAGTGATGTCAGGTTCCAGGAAATCAATGTGAATAACACCATCTGCATCCCAAAAAACTGTAATCATGAGTTTTCCTGCCGAAGCCTAGGTTTTGAATTTTTCTTCCACAGGTGAAGCTTTGTGATGATGCTTATGGACTGATGCTTCATTTCTGGGTCATAATGATCAGCCTCTGTTTTGAAGGCTGTCACAATTCTGTGAAGAAATTCCTCAGCTTCATTTTTATAGTATGACAACAATTGCTGGCAAATTTCAACTCTTGAAGCTTTTATTTCTGCCATAGGCATGTGAGGAACATCTGGCATAATCTTTCTGATATTGAAGAGAAGAACATAAATAATGTGACTCACACATTCCTATGAAATGCCAAGTTTGGCAGCAATTTCCCTTCGGGTGATCCACTAATTGTCCTTAATCAGTTCATCAACCTTTCTTGTGTGAAGCTCAACAGTTGCTGTCACAAGTTGTCTACTTCATTGTTCATGGCACAAATCGGCTTTTCCTGGTTCACCATCTTTACATTTTTTGGCCTACTGTCCCACAGTACTCCTGTCAACAGTCATCACCATAAGCAACCTGTTTTTGGTGGTGAGTTTCAATTGGAGGGACTCCTTCAATAGTCAAAAATTCAATCACAATGTGTTGTTTAATGCACACTGATGAATACTCACTGCAGCCTTCCATTTCACAAACATAGCAACACAACCTTTTCTAACAGCAACTTCCTGCCAATTAAAGTGAATGATGCTAAAGAATTCATCAGAGCTTCTAGTGTGTCAGTACTGTCAGTGACCTATACCACTGGAGGCATTACTTTTCATTCAACCCTTGTAAACCCATCAGTGGTAAAATTTGCTCCCCTATTCCCTGTTGGTTTACTTTAAAACATTTCCCTGCATATCTATCAGGGATATCTTCCATTTTCCCTTATAATATTCACCTAACCATGCAGCATTCTTAGGCAATTATATTAATCAGAAAGGCATGATGGAGATGGAGGCCCATTATGTCACTGTAGGTGGGTGTAGTAGCTTTTCTACATATTATTTTAATATAGTATTGCATACATTCTCTTATGCAAGCCAGTAATGCTATGAGTCCACATTCTCTGTGAACCTGTGGCAGCACCTGTTAGCATATTATTTAAAGAAGGATTTGAGAATAAGAGAAGAGCTAAAATACCAGGGCTGCACACACTGGGTTTTGACAGCTATTAGCTGCTTTAATATAGAGTGTGCTCCACAGTCTTTTAATGCTTTCTTGGGGCTTGAAGAAGTAGGCTGACATATTACATAATACAAAAAAAATGGCTTTTAGCAACCATAAAATCAATGTGTTTTGTTTTGTTTTGTTTTACACACACACACACACACCTATTTAAATTCCAGTGCTGTTTTTGAGCTGAACAAGCCACAGTGCTATGACATCCCACATATGTACATTATTGCCTATTATATTTTGGTCTATGGTTAATTACATTATTGACACCAAGAAAAGTGACAAAAATCACAGCAACATTGTGCTGTGTATAACTGTGTTTTGTGCAGTTTTGAAACATGCATATTATGTATAGGGAGGTAGCGCCTAGGCAACCTTTTGAAAAGGTTTTGAAAAAGTAAGCAGGGTTGGAACTAGTTAGTATTTGGATGGGAGACTAACAATACTAGACTGGGAATTTGAAAAAATATATATTTTAAAGGAGGCAGTGGCAAAACACTTCTGTATTGTCAAGAAAACTAAATATGTGCAGAAGTCACCAAGAGTTAAGCTTGAAGATTTATTCTTAATTATAGGCTGCTGTGATATCTTGCACAATATCAAGTTCTGAACATTGGCAATCATCACAAGTTGTGATCACTGTACTGTTTTAAGTATACTAAATAGTCTTTCTACGTTTTATAGAATCCATGAAGTGAATCGGAATCAAAAACTGGTGGAACAAGATATTAAAGTTGCTATTTTCACATTGATGGTAGAAATAAACAAAAAGGGAAAGGCTCTGCTGCATCAGCTTGAGGTAGATTTTATTCTCCCAAGGCACACTATTAAGTTGGTCCTTAGTGCAAAACACATAATTTTTGTGTTATCTATGGCTAAAAAATCTGAATATATCATATTTTATTAAAATACTTAAGGAACAAACAGTAACGAAATAATGGGTTTTCAAAGATTTCACAACATGAATATATATATCTTAACTTTGGTATAGCTTTTATAACTAAATATTATTTCTTGATTTTCATCAACTGTGTGGGAGTTACATAATATCTCCAACAGATATCCTTGTGTGTAAGGGTATAGGTACAGTCCAAGATAGCCATGTTTCTAACCTGGTAACTTATATGAATATTTTGCAGTAAAAACAAAACAATAGGAAAGTTGAGCACCTTAAAAGTTATTTAATTGTATTATCACATAAACTTTACATTATGCAAACCAACCATTTTCCGCATGCAAAACAAAATGGATATAGATTCAACGACAGTAATAAAAACATCCTGATAATCTGTAGGAGATTATTTTAGCTTCCAAGAACATTTTTTCCATCAAGATATAGACAAGGTAGTACTTGCAAAACGGAACTACAAAGACAGATTGGCTTGAAAAGTGATGGAACACTATAAATCCTTGGAGTTCCGGAGGCTGCAGCACCTCATGATCACATGATCGCCATTTGCAACCTTCCTTGCTGGCTTCCCCAGAAAGTCAAGCAAGGAAGGTTGCAAGTCGCTGGGATAAGTCTCCCCAACCTGTGCACCCTCCTTCAGCCCCTCTGTACCAATCGTAAGTGTGAGCTGGTTGCCAAGCATCCAGATCGCAATCATGTGACTGTGGCGGTGCTGGAATGGCTGGAACTCCAAGGACCAATCATAACTACCATTCATTCAGCGCTGTCATAACTTCGAATGATCGCTGAATGAATGGTTGTTAACCAAGGACTACCTGTAGTGTCTTTGCCAGTTCTGCATTGCAGAATCTTACGGTTCTGCAAAGATTAGGAGGAAATTTATAGTGCTGAGAAGATTTATATACGCAGCTGTTTCTGACACAATTCTAGTTTGGAGCAAAGAAAATGTGAGGTTCTAATCGTAAAAGGAGAAGTGAAATGCAAGGTTACATTGGAAATGACTAAACAGTCCTAATGTTTCAAATGGATATCTTAATAGTAAATAAGTAACAAATAGACTGTGCCAAAAAGACTCACTCCATAAAAAATAGGGCTGAATCATCTGATGAATTTCAGTTCCATCATTTTTCAAGCCAATCTGTCTTTGTAGTTCCTTTTTGCAACTACTACCTATTCTATATTTTGATGAAAAAAAAGTGTTCTTGGAAGTTGAGGACTACCTGTAACATCTCACATCTTTCTCTGATGAAGTTAATGTTACCTATTAAAAAAACCCAATAAAATTGGTTAGTATTTAAGGTATCCCAGTATTTTTTGTTCAAATAAGTCGTGTTCATTGCATAATTTGATATTTTATATAAAAAACAAGTGGAATCCTCTTTCACAGTATTTAGCCAAGCCTAAACATTTCCTGGTTATTCCATTCCATTCCATTTCCTAGTTTGCTGATTCTGCTACTTGTCCCACCCTCCAAATGTTTTGTTCCCTAGTTCTGTTTTGTTGTTATTGTTTATTCATTTGTGTTTTTTTGCTTTAACTTCTGCAAAGCTGGCATTTTGTTCCAGCCCAGATATTTCCTTTAGTAATCCCTTATTTGTATATTTATTATACTTATATGGTATTGAACCGGAGTGGTTTACAAGCAGGAAAACCCCCCAATAAAATTATAACAATAAAACAAATAAAACAATAATAATGCAATCAACTTAAGGTGCCAGCTGCAATATACATTATTATTATTACAGCAATAATTGCAGCTTGAAAGCTATATGGAAAAGTTCTATTTTAACTGCTTCCCAGATTGATGCCAAGGTGAGTGCCAACCAGGCCTTGAAGCAGGGAAGAGACTGTTCCACAAAGATGTGGACCAGCGCAGAAAAACTGTGTTGCAAGATTGACACTTAAAAATTGGTTTGCTGTTAAAATAAGTGATAGTTAGCATCTTACTTGAAATAGTAAACTTGCACCCAATATTCAGAGCAGAATTTAGAGCAAGACTGGGCTTACGTCTCAGTCTCAGATATTCTCTCCTTTCCCCCCTCACTAACTGAAGACAGTAGCAAAGTTCTGCATTTGAACAAGGTGTAGTACTGAAGAAAATACATATTTAATACTACTTTGTGAATGGATTTTTAACTTCAAGACCCACTCCTGATTCACCCTAGAAAGAAATCCAGGAGATTAAATAAGATTAGACAGTCCTATGCTATAACTGGGTACTCTGCTGTGAGGACTGTCTGACATTTCATTACCTCTGGAAAGGCTTTTTAAAAGTTTATCCATCATTAAATTGGATTTTTTTTAACAGAACTTTCCTTTCTCCTGGACTTTTCTTCCAATGGAATGTTATCTTCAATCTGTTATTCTTCTGGTTCTAATTTTATGTCAATTTTATGCATATAAAAAGACAACTTTAGTCATGTTAATTCATGTTATAAGAGGAACTGCAAAGTTTTATCTAATTTTTATCTTAATTACAGAGGAAGATGTAACTTCATTCAAATTTCTATTAAAGTTGATTGTTTTCAACCACTGTTATGCATGCTTTGTGCACGTTGTGTAATTGGGGTTATATGGGTTAGTCATTTTAGTTTTAATACAAAGCAAAATGGGAATAGTCTTTGAATCAAAGAGTGCCTAACTATTAACAAAGTAAAAGAGGATTTCAATATCAGTAATAAAAGGTTTAAGGCTGTCTTTGGTCTACTCTCTTGAAGAGATGGGAAGTAGAGTGATGGGTTAGTGGTTTGATCTGCAGAAATTAGCAGAAGAGGTCATGACCTTATCTTCCTTCGTTACAGTGTCTGGCTAAGGAGCACAGGGCAAAGCTTCTACAACAGCAGCAAGAAGTGGCGGGACTTTCCAAACAACTGGATCACGTTATGAACTTTTCTAAATGGGCAGTCTCCAGCGGGAGCAGCACAGCATTATTGTACAGCAAACGCCTGGTATGGATAGAGAACTAGTGCACTTTCAGGTTACAAGGGTCATAATGATGCATGTTGGTTACAGAGAAAACCAAAGCATGGAACATTAGAATAGTGTTTGCTGTTCATATATTTCTTTAAAAAGTTAAACCGCTATAATATCTAACAAATATTTTTTTGTCTGCTTATACCGCACTTAAGTGCATACAAATACTACTACTACTTTTTAAGACAAAGTATGCACAATTCTGTATGTTTCAGTGTGAGGACTATACTCAGAATTTTTCATTGCACAAATGCTCCTGCTCATGTGAAGCAAGGTGGAATGCTTGCTTTCCTACTCAGTTCCACTCTTAATTTCTGGGTTAGCAAAGAGAACATTTCTAAAACTTTTGCTATTAGTTGGTTTGAACATCACAATTCATTAGAAAGCCTGCAGAAGTGCTTTGAAGGGTTTCTACAGTTGTCTGTGTAGCGACATACCAGTGTAGAAGAGACTGTGTATGCACACGCAGATGAAGACAACTGGGAAAAACTTTTGAAGTGGCTGTGCGAGACACTTGGAAGATGCTGCTGATATAATGCTTTGTGGAGGGTTATTTCTCTTGTGCCAATATGCTTTGTAAGATTCCCTTTTCAGAGCTTTGCATAGCTTTGATATACAGGTAGTCCTCGGCTTACATCCATTTGTTCAGCGACTGTTCAAAGTTACAGCAGCGCTGAAAAACTGGATGTACAACCTGTCCACAAAGTTCTGGCCATTGCAGTACCCCTGTAGTCATGTGATAGCAAGCTGGGCACCTGAGCATCTGGATTGCAATTAAGACGTCACAGGGAGCCACAGTCACATGATTACCATTTGTGACCTTCACTGCTGGCTTCCCACAAGCAAAGTCAATAGGGAAGCTGGCAGGAAAGGTTGCAATTCCACCCACCCACCCATGCACAGCCTCTGCCAGACCTCCCAAGCCCTCCTCCAACTCAAACATGGCCTGTGCAGGGCCTCCCAAGCCCTCCCTGGCCTCCCCCGAGGAGCAGCTATCCAGAGTACATGTGGTCAATCTCTCAATCTCCCCCTTTTCCGGAGAAATTTTGCCAGCCAGAATTCACTGTCTGGCCGCTGATCTCCACCATGATGCCATCCCCGCTCCTTTGGGGACATCTAGTACCCCATGAATCCTCACCAGAAGCCCGCCACTTCCCACTTAATGACCTGCACATCTCGAGGTTACGACAGCAGCCAGGATTGCTGGGATTGCTGTAACTAAATGATGAAATCATTTGATGTCGTGCTTTACAACCGCATCACTTAGCGATGGCAATCCCAGTCCCAATTGCCATCGTAACCCGAGGACTACCTGTACAGTGGAACCTCAGGTTACGATTTTAATTTGTTCCATGACTCTGGTCAGACCCTGAATTGGTTGCAACCCGAAGGAAATTTTCCCATAAGGTTCGATGTAATTACCGTTAATCCGTTCTGGCGTGGAGGACAGGGA